TCTGTGTATGTTTTGCTGCCAATTAATAGAGTTCCAATGAAAATGCAAGAACGCATGAGCAAATGTCATCACTTATTTCAAGGATTGAAGGGAGTCTGGGCCAAAAGAAGTCTAGGTACAGTGTTGCTCATTTGTGGAGGTCTGAGTACTCAGGGTATGAATATGGCAGTGCATTCACTGGAAATCAGTTTTACTCCAGGACAGTGGCTTCTGCAGAAAGCAACAATCTTGTGGATTGACCTGCAGCTACCATAGGCAGCTAATTGTTGCTAAGTTGAGGCAGTTGTTCCCAGTTACTTAAAGCAAGCTATCTTTATGTGCAAGCTATCTCAGGTGCAATAGCTCAGTGGTTCTGCTGGGTGCCTGGAGTCCTGTGTTGGACAAGCCTGGCCGCTGGCAGGGACTGATTACATTCCCAACGCACTGGTGCAGACCCACGTAAGGACTATATTTTCACACAGATCCCTATGTATCAGGACAGGGTAATAATAATGATGAAACCCTTCAGAACGTGTGACATGAAGACTGTTGGCAGCACGGCTGTTATAGCGCTTGTGGCCTAAGGAGGTAGGTGAGACAAAGTTTACAGGGAGAGGTAGCATTTTTATGAGTTTGGAATTGATAAAGTTAGAAAAGGGACAGAGAAGCTTTTGAGCATACTCACGAGATCCTAAGGGACTTGAGAAAGGATTTGGTATCTGAACGTTGTCTTTTCTTTTTTTCCTAGCTATAGGTGTAAGTCTTATAAAATGTTTCCTCTCTCTATTAATCTTGTTGTGTTTTCCTTGTGTAAACCCTTCAGTGTGTGGCTTTCCTCCCAGAGGTCATACCAGTCTAGCTCAGCATCCAGTTAACACTCTCCCCATTCCTCCTTTAAGCCTCTGTCTCTGTCAGAGCTTGAAGACCCTCAGGGTAACTTTGGCCTTTTTCATGTGAACTGGCTGTAAGTCAGCGCAGAGATGTGTGGATGGGCAATCGATACCTATCTTGATTGGGTTTTATGTCTTTATTTTTCTCTGGGATGATGCAGACTCTGACATCCCAACAGAGTGCAGTTGAAGTGTTATCTGAAG